TGCATTATACCTACGAATGCTGCGTGCCTCAGTAATTATCTATTAAATAATACTTAAGTAGTAGGGTAGGGATGGCACGGGCCGGATTTTCGGGGTGGATTTACTAATTTTGGGGTGGATTCGAGTATTACGTGTTTTTAATAACTAAATCGGATGGGCTGCCTGTGGAAATAAGAATTGGCCATGGGCTTCCTGTGTTTTTTAATAACTAAATCGGATATGAGCTTCCTTAGATTTTCAGCTGATTTTTGCATAATTAGGAAGAAATTAGCAGGTCTTATTGTTTATCGTTTATTAATTGCATTGTGTTGGATACAAAAGTCATCAAATTTTCATTACTCCTTTGAATTCATTGACGGTAGCGTGATCTCTTCGAGAGCCTAACTGGAATAACGTAGCCATTGCGTTTCTCAAAAGTAAATTTTATTAGGTCTTGCTTGCTTGCTTGCTTGGTTGAGTTTTGCAGTTAAAAAATTCAAAATCCCCGCGATCTATAAATTGGATTGGTAAACAAAAGACTTGTCCAAACTTGTCAAACAATAAACTCATGGCGTCAATTGGTCGTCATGGCAACTTCACAATACCTACCCGTCATTTTATGGTAATAAGTAATAATAAAAATGATTAAATCCACCGCATATGATACACGTAATACGTGACGTATTAGAACATAATTAAATCCACCGCATAAAATACTCGAATCCACCCCAAAATTAGTAAATCCATCCCAAAAATACGGATCGTGCCATCCCTACCCTATTACTTACTTATTAATTTTTAGGACTTTTGCTCAAGCTAGAGCAAACTCATCTAATTCCAAACTCTTTACATTTGCAAGGTCTTGCAAAGTCCAAAACTATAAAATGATAAGAAAATACATCGAGTGCATTCGTAGTGATGTCACGAGCAAATCGTTCTCTGATATGATTAGTTTATCGTTGCATTACATTACATTACGTTACATTACATTACATTGCGTTACGTTACGTTACATTGCATTGCGTTACGTTACATTACATTGCATTACACTGCACTGCATTGCATTGCGTTACGTTACATTACATTACATTACACTGCATTACACTGCATTGCATTGCATTTCAATAAATTTACAAAACAACGCAAATAAAGTGCACAGTAATAAGGGTCTGGAACAACCTTAAGTGGCCTATGTGGACTAGATATTCATATGTGTAGCAATGTTGCAAATGTTTTTAACCATTGCCTTTGTGGTAAAATTAAAACGTTATTACTCAAACCTGGAATAACGACCCACAAACGTCTGAAACGACTAAAAATCAACCATTGAAGTAGTATCGTTTCATTTTCGTAAATGACCCGAACTGATCCTATGATTCTTATCTTMTTTTTTAGTTATTTTAATTTAGGCCTTGTTATTGATTTTGGGGTGTGTTTTTACAGATAAATCTAAAATCAACGAATCAACAATTAACTGATATGGCAATGGCTAGCGGGAGTGGCTTCCAATTGTATCATTGCGAGAAATGTGGAAACGATCAGCGGGTGTCTATTGAGGATGTCATTGACCAGTATAACGAATGGGAGCTGGATTTGAGACTCCAAGATATTAACGATGCTTGTCCATTGGCTTATGGTGGTTTCTTTGTTGCAAGTGTGAAAATCGATATTGAATGCGAAACATGCGATGAAGAGAATATCGGTATCGTCGTAAAAGTTAGTGCATCACCAGATTGGGATGAATCAAGGGAGGATTGCGATCCACGAATTGATGGCTTTCAAAATACTGAAATTCTTGAAGTTTTGCCTAGTGACGCTAGTGTTGATRAATCATTAATGAGCTGCCTTACGTTTGCTGAGGATGATGACGAGGATTATTTGCCAGAAATTGAATTGTCTGAAGAGCCAACGGTAGTGTATTCTGTCACATTACACATCATTGCCAAGACAAGAATGAACAGAGGCTCTTGTCATTTGGGCCTTTGTTTCAATAGTGGAAGTTCTAGAATCTTCCGTCCCTTGTACCGCGCCGAGGAAAACCTCTGTTGTTGGGATCAACCTTTAGTGCTAGACAAGGAGTATATCTTTAATGTACTGGGAACCCCTGGTAAATCATTTACGCCTTTGCCACACAGCAATGAAGATTTGCTCGTTGACCATCGTTCAATGCAAATACTGGATTCAAATGTATCAAGTTCAGATGACGTTTTTACAGAACTACAGAACATGGCAAAACTCAGTGTGGAAGACATTTTTGGACCTAATACAATAAGGCAAAATAAGTATGTCGATGAGGGTTCAGACTGCCCTTCAGTGGGAGTTCTGAGCTGCATGGGTAGAGATCTTGAGTTGATAAGAGACCGCTCCGGTAAAAGGCGTGTAAAGATCTCTGGAGGATATAAACCCCCATTCACTGCTATCGATGCTGAAAAGAAACCCGAGGACCTACCAGACGAGCTACCAGACGACCCTACTTTGGTCGTGCTTGGTTTAACACGGCCATTTGCAGGAAAAGGAAAAGACCATTTTGACCCAAAAAGATGTTACATTATAGTTTTGAGGATTTTGCAAAATCCCTGAGCTGGTTGAAAGGCTAAATCCCGTGGAATATGAGCACAGAGAGCCCAAAGCAATTGGTGATTTTTAAACAAATTTCATAGCCACTTTAAAAGTATAATTGAAAACTTCTTGAGGTTTTTGAACATCTATAAAAAGCTGAGCGTATCATTTATTAACTAATAGACATATCCCGAATTCGCTTGACTGACCACGAAACAATGGTTTCAAGTCGAGGTTGAACTTGATGAACAAAATAATCAAGCCCAGTCTCGACTCCAAACCATTGTTTCGTGGTCAGTAAAGCGAAATCGGGATAAGTCTATTACATTTGCTGTAAAGATATATTCACATGAGAACCGACCTTGGGTTCCTTGTGGGATTGGTATATAGTTTATAGTTTGTAGGATTTTGCAAAATCCCTTGGCTAATGGCCTAAATGGCTGAAACCCATGGAATAAGCGCCATGGAGATCCCAAGGTATCTTATATCGAGCAACTGGAGCTTTCTTAACAAATTTCATAGCCACTTTACAAAGTATCATTGAAAAAGTCTTGAATTTTTGCTAAACATGTATGAAAAAGCGTATCATTTATTAACTACATACATTTGCTGTAATGATATATTCACATGAGAATTGAGCTTGGGTTTCCTGTGGGATTATTGGGCTAATTTTGTAATGCACTAGTCAACTGAAAACCCGACCCCACCTCCAGGTCGACCCCAGGACAAGGCGGGGAATTAATATTGGTGTAGTGTTAAATTTAGCACTTCCCCACGGTACCGGGGGTAAAGATTTGCCTTGTTCAAATTATGGAAGTTGTCGCGTTAAATTTCCCGCATACCCGTGCATTCACGCCGTTAAATGCGCGTTAAATCCCCGGTCTCGCCGCCTTAATTCCCCACTGTGTCCTGGGGGGTTTTCGATTGACTAGTACATAATGTATGTACTACATGGTTGAATGACATATATTGTAGTCTATATATAACTTCATCTACTTTCTCGATAGCATAAATCTAACTTCGCACTTTTAAAACATATATTTTATAGATCAGAAAACAATTAATACATGTGTTTAGTTTAATTGAAATTTATTGAAATGTGTTTAGTTTATTTAAAATTTATTGAAAATGTGAAAAATTTCCGTTTACAGTAAGTAATACTTGAGTAAATAAAGGAAACTGATGGCAGAGATTAACGTAGAATAAACGTGTAAAAAGCAACCAATAAACACACAGGAAGTAAAAACTTAGAGAACGATCGACAGCTACTATTATTGGTGTTAAACGCTGACCTAATGTTTTCCAACACCCTTGACATGTTTAATGGTTGTCCTTTGATCTCTTGTATACCTGTCAACCATTGGCTTTTCTTGGTATCGTAATATCGGTCGAGTACATTCAGAGACCAAGGAACATTTTTCTTCTTCAGCTCACTGGCAAAATACCGACCAAAGTTGATCACTTCAGCTTCGGTTAAACTCCCTTGCCCATTGTCTTGTGGCATCCATGCTCCAAGGTACGTCAGGACACCAGTGTTGGTGGTGAAGTCCATTGCTGGTTTGATGGCTTTGGCGACGTTTTCTTTGCCAACGGGTTCACCATCTCCACTCCAGTATTTTGGCCTGCCAACTCTCTTGTTAGGTCCTGAGGCGTATAAATGCCACTCGGCCATCATGTTTGAATCCTTCTCGTAAATAGTTTGTTTGATCTTGTCAAGATCTTTGGCTGTCTTTCCTGGTGATCCAAGAATCAAGATACGCTTCGCGTTGTTTCCACCCGTGGCACGAATAGCTGCTACAACATCGGATGTCCATTGGTTGTATTTGTCAGCCCTCATGCGAAGACTTTCACCACAATTTTCCTTTGTACCACATTCATCTATTCCCAGCTCGGTAAACAAATTAAAACTGAGTCTGTAGTCCTTATGTTTCAGCTTTTTGGCCACCTTTGTCCACCATGTTACGTAGTTCTGTCGATCTTCTTCACTTGCATACGCCTCAGCGTGATGGTGGATCCAGGAGATGATCGGAGCCACGCCAACCTCGAGACATTTATCGACTACTCTCGACAAATCTTTCAGAAACGAAGTGAAGTTAGAAGCGTCGTATGGGGCGGCGTACAGGTCTGCCCGGCATCGAAGCCTGAGGTTTCGAAATCCTTTATCATAGATGTCTTGGATGTTCTGGTCATTGTACTTGGACAACGGTGATTCTGTCTTGAACCAGTTGGTAGAAAATCCCTGTCCAACGAGGCCTTGGTAGACTGATGGACTAATCGGCTGTGATATACCGGTAGTCGAGTCAACACCACACACGCCAGTGATCATGAGGAAGAACACAATCAGCATTTTGTATCTTACCGAAGAAATGTCGCACGCCTTGAGCTGAAAACAGCCAACACAGGAAACCCAGATACTTAAATAACAATATATCACGGGTAAAGATGGATTTTTTAAATGTGTATTTCGAGTTGAACAGATATCAATGGACGCCAGTACGATTGCTAGCTTTTAAAGTGTATATGACACGAAAACATTTCATCGTTTAAAATGTATAGTTTGTTAGTCGTAATAAATATATCGTAATAAAATGTGTTTCAAAAGCTTATTTCTTGAGATATGTGAGAAAATTAAGCCCAATTTGTGGACGTCATTTTGTTGACACGTACTCTAGATTCAGTAGTAATGCACAAAATATAAATTGTAAATCGTATAAAATAACAACAAAAGGCACATTTTATTCAACTTCATTTGATAGCTTACGTAGTACTCTCCAAATGTTGGGAAACTGAAAAGTGTACAACCTGAAATTAAGATTCTACATTCAAACATATTTCGTGTATTTGCAACTAAATCTGGAGACTTGTAAACAAAATGACGTCACAACTTGTGCTAAATTTTCT